AGCAGCCTCCGAGGGGCTCGGGGGCAGCCGGGTGGGGAGGTCTGCTGCCACCCCACCCTGCTGCCCCTTGGGGTCCTGCGAGGGGGAGGCCGCCACCCCCCAGAAGGGGTCGGCGTCCCCCAGCATGGCCGCTGCCAGGCCGACCTTGGGGCCGTTGTCCTGCACCCCATCCTCCAAGAAGTCGGGGACTTCGCCGACGGAGGCGGTGCTGGCGAGGCCTGTGGGGGACATCGGGGAAGGTGTTCTCGCCGGCCACCATCTCCACTGTCGCCGCCTGCTCCTTGCAGCCGCCCTCTGCCCTGTGCTCCGAGAGGTGGGGGAGCTCGTTGAGGGAGGTGGTCAGGTTGGGGACATTGGGGACAGTGTCCTCACCATCCCCCAGCCCCGCCACCACCGCTCGCTCCTTGGGGCAGCTGCCCCCTCCCACATACTCGGAGAGGTGGGGAAGCTCATCAAGGACCTCGACAGTCAAGCGGGGGACATCGGTGGTCAAGCGGTTGTCCGTGCTGTCCCCTGGCTGTGCCACCACCGCTTGGTCCCAGGGGCCGTTGCCATCCACCATGTACATGGAGAGGTCCGGGAGCTCATTGAGGAAGGCGGAGCTGGCCAGGCTGTAGGGGAAATCAAGGACATCGGGGACGGTGTCCTCGCTGTCCCCCAGCCCCGCCACCACCCGTTGCTCCTTGGGGCAGCCGCCTGCCCCCACGTACTCGGAGAGGTCGGGGAGCTCACTGAGGAAGGCAGCCAAGCCAGGGTCATCGGGGCCGGTGTCCTCGCTGCCCCCCAGCCCCGCCACCGCTGTCTGCTCCTTGGGGCAGCTGCCCTCTGCCACATAGGTCCGAGAGGTCGGGCAGCTCTCGGAGGAAGGCGGCCAAGCTGGGGCTGTCGGGGCCATCGGGGACAGTGTCCTCACTGTCCTCGGTGTGGAGCCAGGCGGTGGTGTCCTCTGCCTGCTCAGGAACGGCCTCAGCGAAGGCGGCTGGCCCCTGCTCGGGCAGGTCTGTGCGCTTCCCCGGGGGCTGCTGGGGTGGTCACCACTGCTGAAAAAGCAAGCAAAGACAACCAGCCCCTGGTGATGCAAGCTCTCCTCGGCTTGGCCGCCCACCTGCGGCTCTGCCACCCCCTAAAACTCACCCTTGGGCTGTGTGGTGGTTCCGCTGGTCGGCGGAGCAAGGGTGGGGGGGTGGGGGGTGGCAGCAGGGACGCTGTCCTCAGTGGCCACCACGTCCTTGTTGGAGGCCTCTGATGGCTTCTGGGCGCTGCCGGGGAGGGTGTGGGGCACAGGGGGGCCCTGCACCCAATGCTGAGTTGTGGGGTGGCAGGGTGTCGGGGGGCCGGGGTGGGCAGGGACGTGCCACAGGCAGGAGCCCGTGGGGTACAGGGGCCCCCCCTGGAGCACAGCCCCTGGCCCCAGCCCCATCGGCTGGTGGGGCACCAGCGTCCCCAGCACCAGCCGCTGTCCCCATCTGTAGGCAGGGGGACAGGGAGCAGCCACGGGGGAGAACTGCACCCCAGGGGGGAGCTGCACCCCAGGGGGGAGCTGTACAACCGTGGGGGAGCTGCACCCCAGGGGGGAGCTGCACCCCAGGGGGGAGCTGCACCACGGGGGGAAGTGGCACCCCAGGGGGGAGCTGCACCCCAGGGGGGAGCTGTACAATGGTGGGGAGCTGCACCCCGGGGGGAAGCAGCACCCCGGGGGGGAGTTGCCCCAGGGCCCCCATGGGCCCTGGCACCCCCTGCCAGACGCTGGCCTGTGGCAGCTGGGAGGTGACGGGGTGGAGCTGGGCGGGCTGGGAGGACACCGGCAGCCCTGGGACGGAGAGCAGCGTGCCGGCAGGGACCGGTGGCGGCATGGCCGGAACACTGAAGCTCTGCAACCCTGTCTGCCGGGGGGGTTGGAACGTGCCCCATTATGGCATCACCTCCTAACGACATCACACACGCAGGGGCCGGGACCGGGACCAGCTGTGAGCCCCTCCACGGGCAATGGGGTCCTGGTCCCCCCGGCCCCCTCGCTCCATGGCCGCCCTCAGCCTTCGCTCAGCCACAGCCCAGGTGACACCCACCCTGTGCCTGCACCCTGCTGGGGGCTGCTCTGGGCAAAACCAGCCCTGGGATGCCCCCGCAGCTCATTAATATTATTTAGCCTGGATAGGGAGCTCCCCGGGGGGAGGCCCCAGCTGCCCTTGCAGCAGCCCACGCAGGAGGAAGCTGAGGCCCAGGCTCGCTCATGCCAGTGAGGAGGCCACAAATCCTCTGTCACTGCCGTGCCTGCGGCCAGTTTGGAGGGGGGGAAGGTGCTGCCTGGGGCCGAGGAGAGGGGAGCCCCCAGGGGGGACGGGGGGCCCCGTCCTGACTCCTCACTGGCTTCACTCCCGGGCAAGTGCTTCTCCTCTGCGCCAGGACGGAGAGCACAGCGGGGGCTGGAGAGCGTCCCCAGGAGCTGCATGGGCTCGGGGGGCATCCCTGAAGTGGGGTCTGTGGGAGCTGTTCAGTGTTCACATTGTGAAATTTTAGTCTATGTTTTTGAACAACTGAAGACATAATAGGCACTGGTTCGAGGGTCTTTCTGAGAATGTTTTACTAGTGTAGGCTTAACTGCTGCCTGTGGCATGATAGAATTCAATAGACCGGAAAAGGAAAAAGACAGGAGTTCCCCATTCCTTGTGGAAAGCCTGCACTTCAGTATTAGTTCTCAATAAACCCTGCAGTCCATTACTGACCTGCGGCCTGGGGACTTCATTCCTGCGAGCTGCTCCCACGGGTGGCTGGGAGGGAGGAGTGTGGTCGCAGTGGAGAAGAAAACCACAGGACTGTGCTCTGAATCCATGTTTTCATCATCATTAAAAATTGGGTTTGGTCTGACAACAGGGAGAATAGTATTAAAATCTCACCCTTCCCAAACTAATTTGGATACTATGTCCTGTGGTTTCAGATAATACAAGTAACCAGTTTTCTCAGTTTTTATCGTCCACTTTGTCATGGTAAAAACTTTTGTTTCACTAATTTGAGCAGTTTGTTTTTTTCTAGACAAAGTAGTGGGTTACATTTACGGCTGATGGTTCAGATTGGTGTTTTTCTCTGGGTTTTGTGGGGTGTGGTGAGTTTGGCATTTTTCAGCTCCTTGACAGGAGGGGCAGAGTTCATGGTTCGGGGCTCATATGCCCGTGCTCTATTTTGACAGACAACGATACTTTGTTCGCAAAAGCATAACCATGTGCATTTATACGCGATTAGACATTAACTGATTACTTTACAAACTACACTGAAAAGAAGCTTCCCGTAGTGATGCTTCCCTCTCAGATAAGCATAACTTTTTAAAAATTCCCTGTTAGCCGAAAACTGACAGCTTCCCCCTTCAACTTTTAAGCACTTGTGAGCATCTGACAAGGGTCCCTCTCTGAGATATTCTGGAGCAGTAAGTTGATCTCAAGTGGGTTTGGTTGTTTTTGTTTCTTCTCATTAACCACACAGGCACTCTTAAGCTGTCATAGGTTTGGATTTTGTTTTGAACAAATACCATCACACTAGGTTGGAAATGCCTTTTTCAGTGGCACTCGGAGGATATAGTTCAGACTTTCAGGATACAGTAGAGGTTAACTATTGCAATATTTTGATGGTAGAACTTGAATATGTGCTTGATTTTTTGCGAACAGATTGATGAGTCTTCTGCATCAATTTCTCTGGCGCAGCTTATTAAGGTATATTCTTGTCAAATACTTAAAAAATAACAAGTGTTTGCTTTGTATTTTTAAATCTTATACTGTGATCTGTAGCTGGATAACTGTTGTAATGTGAACAAAACTTAATTTTTAATAATTTACAGTACTTGTTTTAACTTTAAAATGTGTGCATATTTTGTTACTGTCTTGTAAAGATTAGTTCCCAGTTTGGGAAGATAGAAGGGGAGTAACTTCTCAGCCACAACGTACTGTTGCAGTATTACCTTCAGAACACAACACTTCAGAAGCTGTTTTGCTGTTTCTCAGATTTTTCCTTAATTTTGCACTGGAAACTAACAGAATTTTCACAGAATAATTTAATTTGCTGTAAGTTGTGAACAGCCAAAAGAGAAGCGTTCCTGTACCATGCACAACTGCATGGCTATTTTCTAATTTCTAGTCACTGTATAGATCCATTTGTGGAACGCTGCACAGTTTCATGTAGACAGTGGACAACACAATCTGATTTGTTTGAATGCAGGCTGTGGAAATTGTGTAAATGTACCTAATTGTTTGTAGGAACATACCACGTGTACGTGTGGCATATTAGCAGATGTGACTTTCTGAAGCTGTTGTAAAGCCATGTTTTGCTATGGAACTGCTTGCATTATTTGCTCAACGCTGTGTAACTTTGTCTGGGAAAGCACTAGTGATTGCACTGTGTGAAAAGGAGGAGTGCTAGCCAGGGAAATTACTAGTCTTTAAAGTGACAAGGATTAGAGAAGGTAGGGCCCAGTGCAGAGGAGCTAGTTCTTTCTTCTGAAAATAAAGGCTGGAGTTCATTACCAAGAAAGAGAAATCTCCTCTCCCTCCCAATGCAGAATTAAATTGTGTATATTTGGGAAGACAAAAAACAAACAAACAAACAAACAAACAAACACACCCAATTAGTTTGGAAGGTAGCCACCAAAAGAAATTGGTCTCCATTAGTGCTGTCCCTAAACGTACCCTTGGTTCTGTAAACTCATGTGAAGTTTTACTCTAAAATGTGAAATGCTGTCAAAGTGGTGTACGCATTGAAGCTTTCGAGAAAATTTAAGTGTTTCAGAAAAATGCAGGAACATGGCATAAAGCAGCTCAAAACTGTTACTTATTCTAACCTCTTCAGTGCAGGCTGGTTTAGCGTGGAGGCAACGTGTTGCAAAAAAGTTTTCTGCATTATTATTACTATGTATGAAATGCTTTATTTGAATTTTGGTCTATTCCTAGTAATGCTTAGTCATTTTGGGACGTGTTTTGTAAATGGTTTGGGTTCAAACAAATCAGTCGAGTGTCTGTAAAGTTTTCTGTAAATGTTAATGAAAGTTATTTCATGGATGTCAACCTGGATTATGTTACAGATGAGAAAAAACTGTGTCTATGAAACGGCCATTTAATGAACCGTTGAAACTAGCTGGTTACTTTTGTGGATGAATGCATATAAAAACAGACACACCAGTGGTTGATCTGAGTGACAGGTTCCTGAAGGTCCAAATCATTTACAGTCGCTCCCTTAGGCCCTGCTTGTGTCTGCACTAGTGTGTAATAAAAACATTTGAACAAACACTACTGAAAAAATAATCAGCTGGCTTCAACAATGTGACGATCTCGTTCTGTGTAAGGTTTCTGTTACAATTTGCATGTTAAAAAGACACAGTCAACTGGAGAAGAACTGCAGGTTGTGCTGACTGTAGTTAAATCCCTTCATATGAAGAAGTTAGTAGGCAGGGGACGTGCCGTTTGGCTGCCGACAGCACGTGACGGTCAAATTTCTACCGAAAAGAATTTTTCCTGAGGCATTATAAGAAGCTTGATTCCTTTTAAAGCTTCTGTGTCTGAAGCCAAATTTCAGCAAGCAACATCTTCCCCAACTCTTAAGTTGTGTGTCCCTTTAATGCTGGAAAATGTAAATAATGATACTTGCATAGAACTCTCTCAACTAAATGTACAGCGAAGACCTTCCCCTTCAAATAGTCTGGAGCTTGAGAATCAGTTTAAAACTACTGGATAATAATTTTTTTTCTACACATAACTTCAATCCACTTGGAAGAAAATTGGACTGGTTACGCAAGACTTTATGTAAGGTACAAACAGAGCCTAAGGTTTTGAGTGCCCAAGAATGCTCTTTTCAAGTAGGTTAAGAGGCACATAAACACCCCGTCATGGCATAAGGACTCCCCAGAACACCTTCAGG